TTTCCTCTCTCTGAAATCAATAAAGGTATGTTTTTAAAAAAATAAATAAATAAAATAAAATAAGAAGGGAAGTACACACTGTAGCAGACTCAAGAGGTATATTAATGCCACAATTAACCAGGTTTTTCTTTCGTTGGAACCATGAGGAGCAATCTTTCTGCCTACTGTTTGTCAATGTGCTGACTAGTTTTTGTGACCTTCAAGAACACATCCTTAGTCAAGGAAGTCTTCATATTATCTACATGTTGTGAACCTGCCAGTCAGCCTTGCTCTAACTGTTAAAATGTCAAGGTGTAGAAAATGAAATTAGAATCAAAGGCATGAAGCCCTGGCCAGGTAGCTCAGTTGGTTAGAGCACCGCGTTCCGATACACCAAGATTGCAAGTTTGATCCCCAGTCAGGGCACATACAAGAATCAACCAATGAATGTATCAATAAGTGGAACAACAAATCGATGTTTCCCTCTCTCTCTCTCTCCCCCTTCCTCTCTCTCTCAAATCGATAAAAAAATTTTTTTTAAAGAATCAAAGGCATGAAGAAAAATAAGTAATCAGAAAAAAGAGAAGGTTTTATCTCTAAGATTTTTCTAAAAATATTTTTTAATTACACTCCCATAGATAATTAAAATTTTATTCCTCAATTTAAAAATATTTTGTAAGGAAGAAAAAAGACAAGAATGTGTAATAATATATTTTAGATATACAGAAAATCTAATTAATTTTTAGTCTGGACAATTTTGTATAAAACAGGTACAATTCTATAAGAATTTTTTGAATTGATATTGCTTATTTAAGACATATATGAATCAAAGAGTGCAATTATGAAGGTAAAAACCCTTCTTTTTCATAGTCATAGAACTTGAAAGAATTTTCCTTTAGAAGGATGCATAATTCACTCCTTTTCTCTTAGTCATCAGCATTTTAGTAAACAAATATATTACCTTCAAATAAACATTTGTCCTAAATATTGATATACATTAATTATATAGAAACTAATGTAGAAGATATTCCTTCCTCTTATCTCATAGTCCTTTATTTTCAAATTAAATTTAGAGATGCTTTTCAGTCTATCACTGCTAAATGAGTAATCTAGAATACAAACATGTATGCACTTTTTAATTTTTATTAAAAACCATACAGCTAAGAGTAAAATAATTTACACACATAAACATATGTATCATGACATTAATAAAGCCCTAAGCCATAAAGGAAAAATGTTGTTATATATATTACTCTCAGCATGCAGGTTAGGAGAAAAAATCTCAAGCCTTCAGTCTTAAAACTTTGATAGTTCTGCAAATCAGTTCTAGTCAGTAGCAATGGGACCATTTCTTATATGAGGTTTGCAAAGTAGAATTTATATGTTGCTGGGACAAAAGCCAAGTGATAAACATGACATTTGATGATCTTACTGATCTCCTGAGGAAATACTTTGCATTGCTTGTAAAATGAGAGAATCTAATATAGTGGACTTTGTTTTTTAAAACATTATTCTCACTAAACTTTAAAAGCAAGATGCACACATACTAAATTACTAGTGATGTACCAGATTAGTTTTTAACTTGCTGAATGACCACAATCCCTGCTCTTTCTGAAAGCTGGTATTCATTAAACTTGCAGAGTTTCCACATGTTCCTGATATTAGTTATAACTTCAGGAGTTTCACCTAAGTCAGAGTAGTATAGTAATTACTCTCATTGATTGCTTACTGTTTGTAGTATCCACATATCATTCATTGAGTCCATCCATGCTGACCAAAGAAGTGAAAGATGTAAGGAATATGATTTTTGTAAAATGTCCAATTACTTACTTTTAGAGCACCAAAGGCCAATGACGATAATGGGATGTGAGTGCAGAGGGCCCTCTGTACCTGAAGTTCAGTTGTAAAAAGAACCTGTCCACCTTGGGTTGTCTTAAATAGTTTAACCGTATATTTCTAATCTTGTACAGAACTGATATTAAAGTATTCATGGTATCGTAAGCACTTTGGTTTAGGAATTTAACTTCTTAAAACATCATTTCAAAGGGAGCTGAAAGCATCTATAGAGTTGGTAAAAAAAAGTTTTACTTTACATAATTGTATGGATTGCTATCTCATGAACATAACATTATTTAGAAAAGGCAATAGGGCAAAAAGCAAAACAAAGAAAGCCTACCAGGTATCTACAAATAACCACTCCCAAAAGGAGTAAAGGGAAAATAAAATTTTGGTGCTAGACAAGACAAAGGCAAGGTCAAAGAGCTAATAATAATAATAATAGGTCATTTGGTTACAAAATTATTAATAACCAATTTGACTAATTCTACTCCTCACTAACCTACAGTGACTCTTCTGGTTATTTTAAGATCAAAAAAGTGTAATTTATGAGTGAAGCTACTCTGGACTGCCTATAGTAGATGCTAAATGGAAAGCCTAGGATTCATCCTGAGTGTCTGGAGTGTGAAAAAGTATCATGTGCAATTTTAAAAATTTCAAATTTCAATCTTTATCCACACTGAGAATTTTAGCTGTGTTTTTCCAGTGTGAAACCATATCTTATTACTCCACTGTATTCAGAATTTGTATTAACTCTGACAGAAGTTGAAACGAGAGTCTATATTTTATGTTTACTCCACAAAGGGCCTTCCTTCAGAGCTGGGGCAAATCAATAGTTTCAACAACCAAAATAATAGAATAGACAAAAGAATTTTTTAAAGCACCTATTTATATTGTAGAGCTATGAGGGTGTCAGTAGAAGCATCTGTCACTCCATGGATATCAAAGTTGATCCATGCTGTGTGCTTGTGTTTGGATGACAATGACCGTCCCAGAGAGAGAAGTCATATCACTGAGTTAAGATAGATATTTTTACATACTTATTAAAACAAGTTTTCTTAGGAGTTCAACTAGGCAATGTTATTAACCTAGTGTGCTTAAAATGTACAAAAATGCAATAAAATATATATCTTTAAGATATTCTAAAGTCAAATTTTGCTCTGATTGGCTACCCAGTTTGGGCAAATTAATGAGATTTTTATAAACAATAATCTGAAACATAAAATTAAGTTTAAAAAATTCTTAAAAGTATCATAAATCTATGATACCTATTGATTGGATAGTAATAAAAAAACAGGATGCTAGAACTGACCCTTGACTATTTTGACCCATATATCTTGACAGAGTTAACTATATTTTTAAAAAGTGCCTTGTGCCCTGCAATGATAGAGGTTAGTACATATTTTCAGATTTAAACTCAGTGACATGTTGCTGACGTTGGCTTCTTCTGGAATTTGAAGTCATTTTAAATACTGAATGAGAATATTTTTATCATATAAAGCACTGCTTCATCAAAATAAGATTCCAAGACCCTATATTTTTTAGAACTTCTCAGGTCCATTATTTGATTGGGTTGGGTGAAGTTTACAGGTCAAAGTGTTCAGCAAAAATCTTAGCTACTTAGAGAGGGAAAGAACTGAGACTCTTCTGAGAGTCAAACGTTGATGAGAAAGAAACTTAAAGTAACCAAATAGGCAGAAATGGCGATTCAGAAAGTGGCAATGTTGGCACAGCTACCTGAGAGTCACTGTGGACCACAAGTTGAACACAAATATGTAAAACAGCAGTGGAAACAAAAATGCTGGATTAGGATGTCCCAAAGAGAATATGACAGATAAATCTGAAGTTCGATACCATGAAGACTCTTTTGCCAAAGCTCTGCAGTGCCAGGATGGCATGATAGCAGCGGTTAACACAGCCAGACAGTCCGTCTCACTGTGGGGAAAGGCCTCCGGATTTGGAAGCCTGCCGTTAAAGTTATGGGCATAGTTCTGGAGGCAGGCACTACTAGTTAAGAGATAATAAAAGGGAGGAGGGGCCCGCGTTTGTTATGCGTTAAAGGCAGCCTTTCAAACACAAGACCCCCAATTCAGCAGCAAATGTTTGGTGAACCTGGCCTCCGCTCAGTTTAGATGTGAGGAGTAAAATAAATAAAGCTTTTATTCTTTGCTCCTTTCCTGGAATAAAATATCAGGTGTCGTAGCTGACCTGAGGACTCCTATTTGCTAGATTGCTTTAAAGGTCAGAATTTGAAAATTAAGGATTAAATGGAGATTGATTACACGTGAATGGGAGTGATAAACGGGCCCTTCTGCATTTTGCACCATTGCCTCCAGCCCGGGTATGTCAACAAACGCCACGTAGAAATCACGTGGAATGTCATCTCTGATGGGCTGATAGTGACCCCTCGGAGAACATGAGGCTTGTTTCCGAGGGAGATAAGTGACATTTGCCATAGGCACAGATATTTCCTAGTCCCATTTTGTTTGTTTCAAGTGATCTTAAAGATCTCAGAGGTATAAAAGGTGACAGATGACCCCCACTACGCACACTCCCTACCCACCTACTACGTGCACCGGAGCCGTAGTGAGAACAAAAATACGCTTTGAGGAAATGGAAACAAGAAGGTGATTTTAGCCGAGAGAGGAAATGCTTGCTCTTTCCTTGAAGAGTCCTGTTCGTCTGAGAAGTTCCCAAGAGTGACCTGATCAGGCTAATGTGGGTCCACAAGTCACCACACGACCTCTCCTCGGAACTGTGGACTCTCGCTGCATCCTCTTGGCAGGTAGAAAGGAGCTTTTCCACCCCCTGGGAATGGCGCTGGCAGTAAAATACCTGCTTTGTTTGCTGTCTTTTCCATGACACACTCGCCTTGAGAAAAGTTCCTGCTGAATGAGGTTGACCTATCAAAGCACTTGACTAATCAGAGGAAATTATCCAAAGCTAATTAGGTAACAATGTGACCCTGAAGGAAACAGATAAAACAGCTCCCTGATTTAAACCCTAAGGAATGAGGCAGAAAGGTAACAAGGGTGCAGGAGCGAGGCCAGAGCGAGCCCCTGGGTGAGAGGTGGGCTGGAGGAGGGAGCGGGTCCGAGCAGAGGCGAGCGCACCCTGTGGCTCCTCCACCCTGGGCATGGCTGTCAGCCAGGCCTTTCCCTCGGACTCCTCAATAGCACATTCTTCCCAGTACAGGTGATGCCATCCTTAGGAAGAGTGGGCGTTGGGAGGAACGGCGGAAGGTTCTTGTGTCTATGTTGACTTGAAATTAATTAAATCTGTTCCTCTTCATCCTCTGTTGGCAGGCCCGGCAGGCTCCCCCCGGGCTGCTTCCCTTGGAGAACATTAGCGCCATTCAGTTTTAGGGTTCATTGTCACTGCAAAAAACAGAACAACAGTGTATTTCCAAGAAGCTGCCCAGAGCTGGTCACTCCACTGTGGAGGTGACTCAAGAGAGCATAAACAGTCAGCAAGCCAACAGTGTCCAGTTGGCAATTTCTAAAACAAAGGTCGGTTAGGATTTTACGTATGATCCCTGAGAAGAAAACTCATGAGGGCCGAGAAATAATCCCTAACTGTTGCTCTAATATCCTTCCCCAGTGCTGACCTGGAGAGAACCTGATGGAGTCGGGGTTTCCCCCTTTAATTAAATCTAATCCCATTCTCTATGAATAAATGCCCTTTTTTCTTCTTCTTCTTTACTTTTAAAAAAAAAATTCCCATGTGTTGTTTTCCCTGAAGAGTTTGTGGTCCTGGCATGTTTTCAGAAGCCCATTTTATTCACATCCACAGGATCTGGAGGTGCCTTCTCGGTGTTGGTTGGAATCCAACCATCAGGCATCCTGGCGTGTGAGTAGACATAAACTATGGACATGGTATTTGGACATGACCACGCTGGCTGGCTAACTTGTGCTATTGTTTCTAATGTGGCTGTCTTTGCCACATATCTGGCTCTGCGGCCTTTTCCCAGTGGGACCTTGCCACCACCCAAGTCTCCTGGAAGGCAGGCCACTCTACCGCCCTGTGTATCTCTCTTTAGTTTAGTGCCCCTCCACTCAAATCCTAGCACATCTCTGCTTGAAGATGTGTCTCCAAGGAAGTGCCTGAATGATAACCATCAACAGGACCTGGTGTCCCCTTAGCTCATAGACAGGTATAGTCTGCAGTAGACTCTGTTCGTTTGACTCCTGCTTCAGTGCTCTCCTGCTCAGTGAAACACCAGGAGTTTCCAAAAAGGACTCTGATAGATATAGATGCATAGATCCATGAAAACGATGTACATGTTTGTGTGTTTGTGTTTGTGTTATGAAGATGGAGAAGAGGCTGTGTTAAGGAGGGATGATCAGTGTTAAACATTTAGGCTACTTCCAAATTTTAGTTTTTATTTATTATAAAATTGCTGTACACTCCCAGTTATTAACCTTTGCATAAGTATCTAGAAGAGGAATTGCTAAGTTAAAATATATGCAATGTTAAAGCTTGGCTAGCCTGCTGTCAAGTTACCCCCTTCCCTAGGAATTTTGTACAATTTACCTTCTCCCAAAACTTTCCTTTAGGGAAATATCCTTTCCCCCATCCTCTCCAATAGTGGATATTATTATTTTCACTTTTGTTGTAAATCTAATAGGTGAAAATAGTATAGTATTTAACTTTATTTTTTTATTATTATTATTTTTATTACTAGAAAGAATAAACATTTTTTTCAAAGTCCTATTGGTAATTTCTTCCTTTTCTGAATTGCTCATTGATATTCTTTGCTCATATTTAAAATGGGACAATTATCTTCTGTATTAGTTTGTGTATTAATAATAATATTTTTTGTTCATCATATACATTGTGAGCACTTTTCTCCAGTTTGTCCCTTTTTTTTTAAATTTTATGTATTGTGGTTTTTGAAGTGCAGAAAATTTGAGTTTTTAATGTAGTTAAGGCTATCATTTTCTGATATGGTTTCTGACTGTATGTCATGCTTTCAAACTAGTCTGCATCTTAAAATTATATTTACCTATATTTTTTCTGGATTTTTTTCTTTATCTTTAACGTTTAAATTTATCTGGAGCTGACTTAAATTTAAAGTGTGCAGTAGAGTTCTAAAATTTCCCCCCAAATGTTAGCTGTCTCAAGATTATTTATTGAGTAATCTACTTGCTATGAAATGCTACATTTATAACATATTAAAGGTCTATATACATTTGAGGCTATTTTTTATTATTCAATTGTATTCCATTAATAATTCTTATTTGGTTCTGGGTGTACATAGCTTTAATTATTGGAGCATTTTCCCTGCAAATCCCAGCCTCTGCCCCCAATCTCACAATTGCACTTGTTCCTTCCTTTAGACTTGTCCTGGCTATTTATGCACAGTGGTTCTTCCAGATGAAATGTCCATTGGGATCTTTAAGAGACTGGGTTGAATTTAAAATAATTTTTATATTGTTGAATCTTTCATTCAGGAACATAGCAATGTCTCTCTCCGTTTGTATAACTCTTTTACGTCCCTCAATTAAAATGTGAACATTGTCTTTTTGTATCACCCCATGCATGTTTTGATTATGTTTATGCCTGGGCATTTCACAGCTCGTGTTGCTTTTAGGGTAGTACTAATGCTAGGACATGCTAACTGTGGCTTTTTTAGCCTAGTAGACAGAGCATAGGGTCAGATGGCCAGAGCTTGAACCGGGACTCAGCCACTTCCTTGCTGTGTGACCTTGGGCAAGTTAACCTTTTTTAGCCTCTGTTTTCTGTTCTCATCTCATCTGCAAAACATACATAATAATACCATGTACCTTATCGGGCTGTTGTAAAAAATAAATGAGAAAATGGAGGTAAAGCACTATGACCCAGGCCTGCCTGACATACAGACATGTGAATGAATGCTAGGCTTTTTTTAAGCCTACAGCGCCCAGTTTTCCCAGGCAGTCTCCCATCCAAGTACTACCCGGGCCCAGCCCTGCTTAGCTTCCGAGATCCGACGAGACGGGGCGTGTTCGGGGCGGAGCGGCCGCAGGCTGCACGCTATTCTTATTTTGAAGATTCTACACTCGCAAATATTTGTATGTTAAACAGGAGCTGGAACATTGCTTCAAATAGCCAAAGGCTTCAAAGAACCATCTTCCAAAACAAACTTTCCACTTCTGAGCAGAATGTACTTAAATGTGGTTTCTTTAGAACGCTCTACAAGTATCTTGAAGTCTTCGCGTATGACACTGCCCACCAACCAGAACTCATTTACTTAAAGCACCAAAGCGCACAGGAGCTCACGAATGGGGTTTCCTACTATAGCTCTGCGGACCCTGAGCAACGAACGTGACAGACTCCGCAACACATGGGACAGTTCCAATGTGGGTACAAGTTGCGTCAGCTGTGGGAGATCATGTCATTCCTAGCGTTGCAACTCTCACAAGCAAACTTTCACCAGCGGTTGGATGGCCATTAGGCCTGTTAGTAAGTCAACAACCTGGGATCTGGCCTACCATCTGAGCCTGGAGGCATTCTCTCTCTCACGCTCATTCCTTTGTTTAGTTAGACGTGTTTCCTGCTGTCTTTGTGGCTATTTATCATCTCTGTGAGATAATCAAATAAGCCTGGACATTTTAAACTCTGGCAAATTCTAGAGTTCCCTGTTAAAAATATCTTGGCAAACTGCCACAGAATTGTAACAAATAATATAAGTGATCTTGCTTCAAACCTCTATTGCTTGCCTTGATGTTAATTTGTAAGGTCTTGGTAACTTATTTGTGACAATAGCATTAGCGAATAATTTTTCTTGGAGTGTGTATAGATATTTTAAGAATATGGGACAGCTTTCCCAAAAGCCTGTTGTAGTAACAGGCCTACAAACTGGAAAAACAAATTGAATTGATTAAAAAGCATCATCTAATTATTTCTAAGAAAGCATTTAATTGGAAAGCTACCAGTTAAATGAGGACAGATGCAGCTCTGACACCTTGTTTCATAACTGCCCCTTTGTTGCCTCAGGATCAGATAAGCCATCTTTGTTCTCCTGACCAGTTTATCTTGTAACAATCCCTCTTTATGACCACAGTTAATGTTCCCTCTCTCCAAAGACGGCAATAAACCTACGCTAAACCTTTCTTGCTATATGATGCTCTCGAACTTGGTTTTTGGAGAGTGCAGAGTTCAGTTTAGCACAAAGTCACGTAACAATTAGATCAGGCTCCTTTTCTCTGCATCGATATAACGTCCCTTCACCTTCCCGAAAGAGGCCTGGCCCGGGTGAAATTACAGAGGTCACGCATCTGGCTAACATCAGAGCCAGGCCTAGAATTAGTCCAGGGCACATAGATCATGCCCATAGCGTAGACATAATCTGGGCCACTATTTAAGCAATGCTGTGATTTATTAAATTTAGTACATCTTCCCTCTCCTCTCCCCCCACACCTGCATTTTAACATCACTTGAGGTTATTCTCTTGTAGGATTATAAACTTACTTTGCATTCCTCATAATACTTAGCTTAGGTTTGAGGGAAGCCAGTTGGCACTTAATAGTCAGTATTTCTTGACTTATAAATGACTTTTGAGGGGCTAGAGAGGAAAAGCGAAAAGATACTCATAAACAAAATAATTGGAAGTGGCCACAGAGATTTACTTGAGCGGAGGAGAGTCCAAAAGAGTTCATACAAAACGCCTGTTTTCTTGCAATTAATGGTTCAGGTCTTGTCAAGGACCGCACTAGATGAACATGCCATCCTCCAATACTTTTCACGTCTGAGCCTCATGGGGCCGGCTTTCCTGCTGCTAACTGTTGTTGCTGCTGTTCTTTTTGTCTCCAATTTGTCTTTTAATTTATGGAATATCTTTTATTTTAACTAATTAATAAAAGAATGAAAACTGCAGTTTTAAAAGAAACTCTTCTCTAGATGAACATTTATCATAAACTGATTATGTAAACTTGCACAAGTCAATTGACCTCTCTGAGTTCCAGGTTTACTCAGATGAAACATTTCATTTTTATCTGGTTGTCTTGGCATGATGTAGACAGACTCATGTTAGGTGCCCACTAAATATATTTCGAAAAACTACATCAACAATTGTACTTTCTTAAAAAATAAAAAAAAGACAATGAAGGGAAAAATAGGAAGAAATTCAAAATATACTCTATTAATCTAACCTGTATTTTCCTGAAAAATATTGAAGTGATTCATTTTTATGTCATTGAGCTCAGAGATGAATCAATAGAATAAACAATAAAGTTATCACAAAACCAGAACAAGTATCCTGTTACTTACCTTCTCTAACTTAGTTAATTTCCTAGGTAATAGTACCTAGGCATTGGACATATAGAAAATGCTATATAAATGTCTTATTGCTGTTATTACTGTACTTACAAAATTATAAATCCACTTGAAGGGAACCTAATCTAATTTCCCCCCTAATCTTTCCCAATGCTGTTACTCAATATAAAATCACCACTGTGGCCAAAGGGCATAAAGGGAAAGAAGATGGTCACTTGGCTAATATTAGCAATTTCTTTTCTGTGGTTGTTCACCTAAGCTTGCAGAGACAAAAAAACCAAGCTTTCGGGAAACTGTCTAACTATAAGAGGCTCAGGAAGAAGGAAGAGGCTGGCTAGGCTGCAAGCACCATAATGAAAAGGATCCATCTTTCTTGCTTGTATCACTGTCTAGTGGCATTCGGGAAGGTGGTGAGGGTAGGGGTAGACAATGAAGAAGTGAATGCTTTACAGAGAACTTAAACAATAATGAAACTGACTCAGTGGGTCTGTTTTCTGTTATCGCCATGGGCTGGCAATGCTTAGCAATGTCAGTGGTGAAATCTCTTCAACTCTAAGGCAGACCTCGCCCACCTCCCTGCCCCACCCCTTGGACACTATTCTATTGATACTGTTCCAGTATCTCAGACAATGCCTGGCACATAACAGGTATGAATTTCAGGGCAAATGTTAATGTGAGAAATGAGACTATAGAACTTCACCTCCCCTACAATTCCTTTGTCTGTTCCTATTGGTTTTTTTAAAAAACATGAAAACCATAATATAAATTCCCCATATAGTTTGTATATCTCTGGCCCTTATTTAAATCCTATGTAAAATTTTAGGAATTTTACACAGCTCAAGGGAAAATGTCCCTTCAAGGAGGACAGGGCTGGCCAAAGGGATATGTGGGAAAAGTTCTGAGCGACCTGAGATCATTGACCCTAACAAGAGGAGTTTGAAGGGTTGAAGTTTCTGCACACCGAGTCTGCTGCATTAAGTTTAGGGTGGTGACCAGATCGACTCCCTTTTCCCAAAAGCAAAATAGACAATGTATAATAGAGCTTCTGTGTCAGGGTGACTTTCTAGCTTCAAGAAGGGCTGAACTCTATAAATAGATTCCAGAAGTCTTAATTAGCAGGAGGATGAGGAAGTGTGTTTCCCCCTAAGTTCAATCCTCAGTGACTATGATATACTTTCTGAAACATTCAAGTCACCTGCACACTTAGAGGAAGGGTGACTCACATTGGGAAAAGCCAATGGGGAACTCTGGGGGTAATGATGTGTCAAGGTCGGTTATAACTGATTTCTGGTGGGGGATGTCATTAGTGGGGAGTCTGTGCATGTGTGGGGGAAGGGGGTACATGGGAAATCTCTGTACTTTCCACTCCATTTTACTGTGAACCTAAAACTGCTCTAAAATACAGTCTTTTAAAAAAAGCCAATTGGGGAAAGGGGGAGAACTGCTGCCAGAGCATAAAAGAACTCGTTTCATTTGCATGGTGATGTTAGACTTGCAAAGTGGTTTTTTTCTTTATGATCCCATGAAACTGGAAGAACAGGTGTAATTATTTCCATTTTTCAAGATGAGGAAACTGAAGCTCAGAGTTAAAGTGACTTGTTTTCGTATGAGGAACAAATGACCATTCAAGTCAGGTCTTAAAACTAGTTTTCTGATTTTAAGTCCAATGACCAGTGCACTCTCCACCTGTGTCTCTTAGGATTCACAAGCTTTTAGAGAAAAGAATAGATCTTATTTCTGTCCTAGATTAAATATTCAAAGTTCTAAAAGACCTGAGATGAGACCCTAACAAGAGAAGGTTGAAGTCTGCACACATCATGGTGCATTAAGTATTGGATGGTGACCAAATCCAGCAAAAGTAAAAGTTTCACCAATTATCATTGTCATTAAGACAGTAGTAGGAGAAAGAAATGTAAATGAAATCACAACAGAAAACAAAAATGATCCAAACTATACACACACATATCCTTTGTAAAACTCCTGACTGCTAAGAGGATTGTTCTGAAATGGCCAACATTAATGGGCCCATGCTGGTAATGGAGAGAAATCAAAAGTCTCCAGATCATTCCTAGAAGATCAAACAAATTCCTGATTTTTCAGGATCAGTGAGGTTCAAAAAGAAGTCACCGGGGAAACCAGGTACAAAAATAATGCCCACCCAACAATATAGATGTGCCTGGGCCTTAGGACACAGCCACATTAGCCCAAAAGACAGTGAGTTTATGTACATCAATTTTAATTATTAATGATAATAACCAATACTTATTAAGAGTTTATTTTATGCCAGGCTTTGTTCTAAGTGCTTTTTACCTTACTTAATTTTTACTGAATAAAAATTAAATTTGCTTTGCAATATTGTAACACCCTTTGGTGTAACCAGAAAGTGTCCATGGCACCAGACATGGGACTTGCTGCTCTGGTGCTGGCTTCCCGGAGAAGGAATGGGGTAAAGGCCTGACAGTCATCCTGTGAAATAAAGCCAGAAGGTTCTGGACCAACAGAGGAATATAGACATTCCCTTTAGCATAAAGTAGATCTCTAAATAAGTTAAGGAGTTTTGTCTGACAGGTAGAAATGAGCTAGAGCTTATTTCTTAGACCAACCCCTCAGTATTTCAAGAATATGATTTCTAAGAAGCTTTTTCCCTCATACAAGTCTCTAACATTGAGCTTCTTCAAGTTGTCAATCATTTAAAAAAAAAAAACAATAAAAAAAAAAACAAAAAACGCACACCAAAAAAACAAGAGACAGACAGGTATGTAAAAACCACTGACATTTCACATCATTTGACAGTACCCATCAGAGACACGGTAATTAGATATCTGTAGGGTTTGGGTGGTGACTTGAGCCCTATACTAGACATAGATAGTGGCTCACTTTTAGGTAAGATAAAAATGCAGGGAAAATATTTCTTTGTAATGTCCTTTGTGATACTCTCCCTAACATTTTTTGTTTGATCTACTTGTAAGTATCTAAACAGAGTCTTTTCTGAACCAGCAATAAATTTTAACATGCAAATACCCAGTGAGGTAACAATTGGTAACATCTGCAATACAATGTAGAATCCTGCATCAGAGCAGAAAACCTCTCGGTTTGCCTCAGTAAGAGTGTGGGAATTTGACTTGGGGACAGAGAGAATGGTGACTTCTTAGGTGAGGTTTAGGGGAAGATGCAAAATAAGGGTCCAAAAGACAAATATCTGCTCCAATAATCAGTCCTTCCCTGCAATGCTCTGACCTCAGGGACCCCCGGTGATAAGTGATTGCACTTTGGAGGCATTTAAGTTGATTGGCACAGGACCTCTGGTTAACATGGAGGGAGAGAAGGTGGGTGGTATTTATCCTGCTCTGAAAGTTTATTCTGACAGAAGTGTAATGTCTCAGTCACAGGTTCAGTCAAGTTCTCTGCTCACTGGTCATCTCGAGTCAACTGTCAACAATTCAGCGCCTTCTAAATCACAGCAGTGCTCTGAGGAGCAAGTCCCCGACTCGTTGAACGGTCAATACTATTTCCTGCAAGCGCTTCCCACATCCTGACTACACAATTCTCTTATCACACACACCCCAAACACGGTAATTTCTATCCTCACAAAAGATAATATAATTTAAATAAGATTGTGGGATGCTAAAAGACACCCAGGCCCCAAAGCATTAAAATTTTCTATCAAGCAGAGCCACCTAGTGGTAGAATGAAATGTTTTTTAAAATTCTCCTTTAAGTTCTCTCACATAACAATCCCATCCAGGTGGAATTCCCTTCCTTCCTTCCTTCCTTCCTTCCTTCCTTCCTTCCTTCCTTCCTTCCTTCCTCCCTCCCTCCCTCC